TACATTAAAATTCAACCACAACTCCTAAAAGATCCAAATACAACTAAAAAGCCGATGTCAAAGTTCAAACAAAATACATGCTATAGTGCAATAACAGCTCTGTGTTCAAAAGCTCCAATTTAACTACGATCACTGAGGTCTGCAATTCCATAGGTACCATTAGATGAATATATGTAAAAAGCCACTCCCACTCTTATTTCAATCATCGTATGCTACCAATAAGGCAACAATCGCATAGTCACAAGTCATACATTTTCGCAACAGCCTAATTAAAGCTTTCCCATTATAGTAGCTCTTTGATGCTTCAAAAGTTCAAATTGGCTTTTGCAATAACCAAACTCCCACTATATTCAAATTCTTTAAGCTCGCTGTTTTTCCCATCTATGAAGGTAAAATTTAATTCACATTTTTCCCACAAATCAAAGCTAAGTCAATCACCCTTAAAACAACAGGCATACACCTACAATTGCACTCAATCAGTGTTCACCCACATTAAAATTCAACATATACAAACTCCTAAAAGCTCCCAAAACAGCTAAAAACCCGAAAAACAAAGTTCAAACCATCCACATATAGCAAATTTCAACAGAAATGCCAAAACATTCAAACTAAAAAAACTTGGGGAAGTAACTAAACCTCAGCAAAATCCGACTGATGGCCAGGATTGTGCTGGGACTCGGGCCGAATCTCGATATCGGCAGATTCATCAACAATCTCCTGCATCGTATTCTGAATAAACTCATCAAACGAATCAAGCTGCTGCCTCACTAACCCCTTCTCTTCAAAATAAGCACTGATAACAGCCCAAGCATCTTCTTGGGTGATCTCTTCTTCGTCTTCTTCATCATCCATCATCATCATATTCTCATTCTCATTCTCGTATTCATATTCAACCCCATTCATTTTCACTTCCCCTTTTTGATTAAAACAGTTTCAATTTAGTAAAATTTGATTAAATTGAGCGTTCTAAATCGAAACTTTTTTAGGGTTCTTGAAATACCCCAGATGAAATTGTCCTACAAAAATGCGAAAATTGAAGTGGGTATTGTTTAAAATGAAGGGATTTTATTTAAATTTGATAGTTTGTATTGTTGTTAGTTGATTTCGCAGATAAAACTGCGAAGAAGAGGAGAGAGTGAGATTGGAAGAATGGAAAAGAGGGTGAATTGGAGGGGGTAGGTCTGCTTTTATAGACGAAGAGAAGCGGTTCGTGAGTTTGTTGGGCGGTGCTGCTGAACCGGACCGGTTCAGCCCGTATATTAGGTTTGATAAGAATTGGATGTTTGGACTTTAATTTATTGGGCTACCTAGTAATTTAAAAGCCCAATACACTAGTTATTGGGCTAGTTTGTAATTTAAAGCCCAATACTCTATTTACTGGGCTGGTTTGTAATTTAAAAGCCTAATACTCGATAGAGCCTCATAACAATCTTCCAATTAGGTTAGTTTAAAATCATCATTTAAAAGAGTTTGAAAAAAGGTGAGTAAATAACAGAGCATTTAAGAAAAATTAGGTGAGTTTTAAAAGAGAATCAAGAATAACATTTAAGAAAGTTTTTAAAAAGTGGTTAAAACGCTGAAATAGAATACATAAAGGTTTGAGAATACTTTAGCAAAGGAAAACAATACATTTCATAAAATATTATGGGCTAAAAAAATAAGAAAATTTAGAAGGTATATATAATCACAACACGTCGTTGACGTGAATTTTCTCCCTCCACACCACCCTATCCAACACCATATTTTCCTCAATCCTCAAAACACTCATGTCACTCTCAGTCACCCTTTTCCAAGTTTTCTCAAGTCCTCCCCTACCTCTCGCAATCCCAACTCTTTGCAATACCTCAAGCCTCCTTACTGGAGCGTCACTTGATCTCCTTCTTATTTACATGGCCAAACCATCTTAAGCGATTCTCTCTCATCTGATCTTGTACTCAATTGATGTAACCTCTACTTTCTTCCTTATTAGCTCAATCCTCAACCAATCCTTTCTTATATGACCGGATATCCATCGCAACATATGCATCTCCACCACATTCATCTTATGCACGTGCCAATGCTTTACGACCCAACATTCTCTACCATATAACAAAGCAAGCCTTATTGTCGTTCGGTAGAATTTCCTCTTTAATCTATGCGGTATGCCTGAATCACATAAAAAAACATTGCACTCTTCCACTTCAACCAACCCGCTTTGATCCTATGAGCTACATCTTCATCCAATTCACCATCATTTTGAATAATAGATCCCAAATATCAGAAGACCACACAACTTTGAACACACTTCCCATCCAAGGTAATCACTCTTGGCTCATTGTTTCCCACACCGCTAAACTTACATTCCAAATACCCCGTCTTTCTTCTACTCACCTTCAAGCCACAAGACTCCAAAGTCCGTCTCCACAATTCCACCTTACTTTGCACGCCTTCTTTCATCTTATCAATCAACACAATATCATCAACAAACATCATGCACCATGGTTTATCATCTTGAATTGAACTCGTCAATTCGTCCATGACTATAGCAAAAAGAGAAGGACTAAGTGCAGAACCTTGATGAACTCCAATTGTAATTAGGAACTCTTCAGTCTTCCTAATTGTGGTCCGCACACTTGTGCTAGCTCCCTCATACATGTCCTTAATGATGTCAATATATTTCCGCGAAACGCCTTTCCTTGTTAAAGCCCACCAGAGAATCTCCCTTGGTACCTTATCATAAGCCTTCTCCAAATCAATAAAAACCATATGTTAATCCTTCTTCTTATCCCGATAGATCTCCATTAGCTGTCTCATAAGATGGATTTCCTCCACAGTCGATTTTCCAAGCATAAATCCACTTGCCATCTAGGGAGTGATTCGTCTATGCTTGATAAACGTTTCCCTTTTGACAGGGCTTAGAATATTTCAAATCATAGTGCGGGGACACGTTGGATTATTTCAAATCCCACTTACCTCTTATTATATTTAATTCAATCAAATTGCCTAAAATTATATGTCGGTCAAAGTATAACACTTAAATAAAATGGAGTATTTACTGTAAATAAGGAATATAAAAGTACAAAAAGACGTATGTATTAATTTTGCTTTTTGCATTGATATTTTTTGACATAGTTTCAAAGTTCATTTAGATATCTCGATGTTAAAAGTAATAATAGTAATTAGTAAATTAAATAGGTTTGTGTAACATCAGCCTCAAAGTATATAATAAGGCAAAGTATATCAAAGAAATCTTGCAATAAAAACATAACTAAACTCTTCTTTAAAAAAAAAAGAAAATAAAGACGATGATATAAAACAAAGAGAGTACGCAATTTTACTTGGCTTTATACCAAAAAAACACGGTGCATTTAGAGAACATGAAGAAATCCTAAAAGTGTGTAGCTAAAAATGGTTTTTCCAACTTCCAAATACTTCTTATTTTAGTGTGGTAGTTCACCTGAAATATTTATGGACGAAGACTTGTTGGGATTTTTAAGCCTATTAATGCCATGCTACCATGCATAGATTAATAGATTTTCATGAAATCGACTTGTCGATTTCACCTGCCCAATCCACAAATGACACATTTTCCTTACAATTGTACTCCAAAAACATTTTAAAACTTGGTTTTTAATTTCTTCAATTTATAAGTGTACTTTAAAAATATTTTAAAATCGGTTTTTTCTTCAATTTATTTTAATGTATGTTGCCGACACACATAATTAAATTTCTTGTACTCTAGCTTTGTTTATATAATTGTACAATGGGATGCGATTAATTTGCTTTTAGAGTTATTTTATTTATTATACATTTCACCGTATTTTTCTTTCATAAAAACCTTATTTCTTTAGTTTTGTCTTGAATATTGACAATGTTTATGTTAATATTTAGCTTAGGTAAGAATGGGTCGTCCTCTAATTCTTGACAAGAGGGAGTCCCAGATAGATGCTTCAAACCTGGGAAAAAGTCGAAGAAAATGTCCTATTGAATTGTTTGAGGATAATAATTTTTGAACAATTAAAAATGGGGTTTAAATAGCTTCAATTATATACATTATTAAAAACACGAAGTATTGTACTATACAGTGTACACGTGAAAGTATAACTATGTCTAATCATCTAGTATGATTTATTAGGGTGCAAGAAACCGAGATAAATTAAAGTTACTTACACGTTAGTTGAATAATACGGTCATAAGTTTGGTTACAAAAATGAACTTAATTAAGTGAGGTGAACTTGGATTTAGACCTATCTTAGGCTCTCAATGGCCAAGTTGAACAACCCCTAACCTGATGACAATTCTATTGATGGAGACATTTGTTTTTATTAAGTGAATGTATGAGTTTCAAAAAGAAAGTAAAATTATTCCAAATAAAGAAAAATGTTGTCATCAAAATCATAAAAGTTATATGGATGATTACAAACATGTAAAAATGCTGAAAATTCTATAGTGGTTGTTTGAATTATGATTACCATAATGTTTTAATGATTATGTAATTTATAATTGACGCATTTTCTCCAAGTAACTAATTATATTACTTTATTTTTGCTATAAAATATTATTATTAACATTTGTTTAATTTATCAATTAAATTTTTAGTTTCATTTATATAATTTTTATTCTTATTTTATAGTTTCTCGAAAAATATTTATTTTATGTTGGATTAAAATTTTAAAAAATTATATTTGCATTGTAAATATTAGAATACTAATTGTGTTCAATTTATAGCGTGAAACACTTATATTGGTTATTGGAGTGTTTTAGTGTCATATCCTCTTTTCGATCATGTATTTTTTGAGAATCAATTAGCATAACAAATTATAAGACAAAAAAAAAAAAAAAAAAAATTAAATTGCTAGGTAGCCTAAGAAAACAAGGTAAAGAAGAAACAATAAGTGAGAACAACACATATTGACTATCACTACAAATTTAAAGATCTTTCCATTAACAAGCATACAAACAAAAAAGTACAGACCAAATTAAATTGGAGAATAAATTAAAAGTTGCTAGGTAACCTAAGAAAACTAATTTCATTATTAAGGCCGAAAAGCAGGGAATTTAGACATGTATGTAAGCTCGTTGCTCCACTTTTTATCTGCCTTACCTACCAATCTTTCTCTCTCTTCCACACTTACGTACACCAAACTACCATACACATAAATATTACTACTTCTTCATTTTTTGAAACTTTGCATAATTCTGTATACTATTTCATCACCCAAAAAATTCAGGGGAAATTAATTGAATATATATAGAAGATATTTATCTTGAATAATCAAGATATATTTTTTTATGATTAGTATAATATGACCAAGATTAAAGGTATTATTACCTTTGTTCTTAGGCTTATAGCTTTGGCATCTACTATTGTTGCAACTATTGTTATGGGCACAGCCCATGATTCTGCTTCTGTGCTGGGAATCAAATTCGACGCAAAATTCACAAATTCTCCGTCTTTCAAGTAAGTCATTATAGTATCATTATTTAATACTACCTCTATTCGGAATTAATAGTTATAGGGATTGTTTGATTTGAACTAGTGATGTGACGCTGAATTAATTTGAATGTGTTGAAAACGTGGGTGTGAAAATGTAGGTACTTCGTAATTGCGTATGCGGTAGTAAGCTTTTATTCTCTAGTGGTTCTTTTGCTGCCTTTCAAGAACTTGCTATGGCGCCTTATTCTGGTTTTAGACATGGTAATTCCTCTTTCTCTGTTTCGTATGTTTTGGTCTAATTGCTCTGTTTTCCTATCATTTTAAACCAGTTTAAAAAAAATATATATATATATAGTTTTTCAAAAATTTATTTGTCTTAATTATTAATGGAGAAAAGAGGACAGCCTAAGGGCTAATGTATTGCAAGAAAGCCATTGATGATTAATAATCACTTTCAAATGAGTCAAATCATTAATTTTTATTTATTCATATTAATTATGTAGGAGGTATAATAATTGAATCATTAGTCAATAGTGATATTGTACACAATAATAGAGAACAAGAAGAAAAATGTTGTGTTCTATAGAAGAAAATTCACTCTTATATAGAAGGGTACTTTAATCTTGATTTTGTATCTTTTAAAAATTTCGATAAATAATTAAGGGCTATAGAAATTACTGTATTAACAATCCTCTCGTTAGTGACTTTCGTTAACTTGGAAATAAAAGTAGCTCACAAATATCGCAAGACATTCATTCCTCAAACTTTAAGTTACCTTTATTTTTTTTTTATTTTTTTTTTATTTTTTTTTCCCTTCTTATATTATATATTTATATATTCTTGTGTAGTCTTGTAACGTACTCAACAAAGGAGTTCATTTCCTTACATGAAGTACGTATAAATGTTTTCTTAGATCATAGACGGTGGGTCTTGTCGTCTCAGGGATAGTGAGGATTCAATTTTGTTGGTTCATGTAAGGCAAATGTCTTAGACGTCTTACCACTTGAACGATGAGGTCCTCATGGGTCATATAACTACTATACATACCTGAACTTATACTAGTATTTTTGTTGGTGCAAAACGTACTCATTAACTAATTTACGAGGACAAAACGTGCAGGTGGTGACACTGCTTTTGACTTCAGCAGCATCGGCAGCATTGGCAATAGCATACGTAGGAAAGAAAGGGAATACTCATGCAGGATGGCTAGCAATATGCGGGCAAGTCCCTAAATTTTGTGATCAGACCAGCGCTGCCCTCGCCGTAGGCTTCGTTGCTGCAATCATCTATTTTGTGCTCCTTCTCTACTCCCTTCATGCTGCTCTTGGTCCTCTATTTCCTGCTTCCACCTAAATTTTCTAGCTAGCTAGAATTTATTAGTCAATGTAATGTATGTATACCATGAAATTTAGTGAGTTATTATTACTCCCATACTTTCATGTAATTTTGGCTATATACTCCCTATCATTTTCACTATGATATTGATATATGTACACTTTTTTTCTTTGATTTAACGACGTCTTAATTTATAGATAAAAAGTCCTACAAAAGCTCTAATATAGTAATATATAAAAAGAAAACATCAATTTTAAAAACTTGAAATATTAATTTTAATTGTCATCAAGAGGTGGTTATTGGACAGGGTAGCCCAATGATAATAGGGTCAGGGCCAAGCTCATAGGGCTTTTAATGGACAAGGTTATTAATGGACAGGGCTCTTATTGGGCAGGATCAATATAGGGCCAACATGTTTTTCCAATTTAGTTGATAAATAAAATACATAATGTAAAAATAATTATATAGATTAATTTGTATTCATATGTATTTAATAATGGCTTTGTCCAATATATATTTTAATTGATATTTTGTAGGCCCGCCCATTATCGACCCGCGACCCGCATTGACCTGACCCTATATTGACCCTATAAAATGTGACCCTCTTTGACCCTGACCCGCAACCGACCCGCACCGACCCTGACCTGACCCGCCCAATAACCAGCTCTCATCATATATAAAATTGACATCTCAATTGACTCTAGGAGTGTCCGTTCGGTTTTCGATTTGGATTAAGGGCAAATCCTATCCGGACCGAAATATAATTCGGTTTTGCATTTTTCAATCCGATTCGATGCGAATTACTCGATCAATCCAATCCGAATTAAAATTCGGTTATTTGGATCCGATCCGAAAATCAGAATTAAAATACGTTAATTTATCTTCTTTAATAAATAGACTAGTACAATGATATAATTTAAAAATGCAATTATAAAAATAATATTTTGTCCAATATAGATCTTGAAAATAATCATGATTCACATAAATTGTTCAACTTCAAGTCAAAATAAATTACTCAAAGTACAACAAAAAGGAAACATCATTAGTCCATTACAATAATTACTAAGCTACATGCACTAAATATCAATAACATTAACATACAAGCAGTAACTTTCAGCTATATTATGCTTAAGGCAGCAGCAACTTTCAGCAGATTTAGAGCAGCAATTGGGCTAAATGTTTAAAGCCCAATTGTAAAACACAGTAGTCCATATATTTGCTTAATTCTAAATTTCGGTGTTCGGATCCTATTAGGGTCAATCCGATCCAATCCAAAAATCCGAATTTTCAAAAAATCTCAATCAGATTTAAAGTTCGGATCCGATCCGAATTGATAATTCGGTCTGGATTAGATCGGATTTTGGTTTTAATCCGAATTATGGACACCCCTAATTGACTCTTAGTCTGTCACCATTGAAGATTACATATTCATCTTAGTTCTCAATTTGCGTCAAAATTTTAACAAATTAAAATTCAAAATGTGAGTCTTTTTCTAGAGGTTAAAGGAAATATCACGAGTTTTTTGTTTTCCTTAAGGCAATCTTTTATATTGGCAGGCGATTAGGCATGGAGGCAAATGCATGCTTAGATGCAATCTCAAAATCCCACTTGTTTAACCACTCATGATAGTTACAAGCACAATTTATACTTTTGTAATCAATCACACCACCACCAAACTCTATATGGTAAAAATTTGGATTTTGGTTTGGGTTTTGCTCAATTCTTATCCAATTTGAATTGTATCCAATCGAATAGCTTCTACCTTTGTCCATTTGTCGGAAGTCGGATTATCCACCAATTAAACCCGCCTAGATATGACAATACTGACCCGACTCGTGACCCAAAACCCAAAATCTATCCATACCCGACCCGAAAGTGGAGTTGACTCGATACCTAAAATGACCCGATCTAATTGTACCCGACTCGATATTCGAAATGACCCTACTCAAAGTTGACCCGAATAACTTGACCCGAACAAACCCGATACCCGAAATGTCCTGAACTAAAATTACCTAATACCTAAACTAAAAATGTGTGGTGCAATAAATGACTCAAACTGTTTCATCCCCAACTGTAACTTAACTCATAAAACAAATAAAATTATCGATTTGAGCTTGATTCACAACATCTACACAAAATGAACGATCCGATTTTAACCTGACCCGAACATACTTTAAATTGTTACGCCCCAACCCAAACCCAACCCTAATGTTAGCTAACCCGAAATAACCAGATCTAAAATTGGCCGGCCGGAAGACCCATTTGACATGCCTAGACGAAGACCACAAAATAAGACAATACACCGGAGCATATGAAAAAGAATGTTCTGTTTATCCACAAGACGCAACCACAAGTCCACAATAGCGACATGGATCAAATTATGACCTCGAGTCCAATACCGAAGTAATTTAGTAATTGTTCCTTGAGAAAAACAACCTCTAAATCCATACTAATCTGGTTTGGAAATTTATTCTCTTTCTCTGAAGATGAGTAGTGTAACGAGTACTGGAGCAATTATAGCATCAACCCATTTGAATTTTCCTTCAATTTCTGATTACACCCACATCTCTAAGCTGCATAATCCCATTTATGGAAGAAGAACAAGAATTCGGATTCAATGTTCATCTTCATCTCCTGACTTCTCCTCAAGTACTGGTATATTTTATTAATTATCTCTCTAATTTTTAGTATTTTCGTTGTTAATTCCGTACTTTCTACCGTACTATGTATTTCGACTTACTACTAGTATTCTAAAATCCCAAAAATGATTTTTTTTTTTAAATAAATTCAATATCCAGTTTTAATTTTCTTTCATTTCTTGTAGGAGGATTTATTATTGTAGGGTTTTTGTTCTTGTTATTTTGATGTTGATGTGCTTAGCAATTGTTTATACTAAGTTAGCAATGAAATGTGACAAATTCGCCATGAATGTGGAGTGTCTTTTATGCATTGTTAATTTGTTATTAGTGTAGGTTAAATCAATGTGTGTGGGAATTTACTATTTACAGACTAAAGATCTATGTTACTTCAAGTCTTCGACTCTTCAATTTATCATTTGTACTAGTGTCAGTTGGACTAAAACATGGAATTCTTACCCAACACTTTCATTTTTCACCTTGACACCTCTAATTGCTAATTTGGTAGGTGATATTTTATGATGGTTACAAGGAAAGTATCATGCTATGTCCATGGTATTACAATATCGTGTGTTTTTTTCTTCTTAAGTTTCCATTTCCACTCAGTACCAACCCCCTTATGGATAGTGATGGAAAACAAGAAATATAATGGGGTGAAATGAGAAAATTCAAGTTTATCAAATCAAGTAGTATTTATGTAAATTAGTAAACAAAGTAAGCATGAGATTTTTATGATAAAATCAACAACTTCATAATAATTGTGGAGCATAACTTGTTGATTTTATTACCAAAATATTATGCTGACTAGGTTTTTTTTGTTAACTTATTTACAACATTTCCACTTGATTTGCAATTTTCGTTTACCATGGTGATATTGGACTTGCTTGGAGTGACATAGCTTTACCATGGGCATGTCATTGGCATTTGACTTTCCTAATTTTGACCATCATATATGTAGAGAACATGTGTATTTGAGGCAAGGGACTGGAAAAAATGATTACTTTGAGGCAACAAACTACTGGAAAGGGGAGTGTATATTATAAGATGATTATGATTGTATTGAATGAATTAAAACAGAGTGTACAACCTAAATTTATACAATGAGAGAGCTATACAAAGAGTATAAAAGATAGTAACAATATACACAAAATAAGGAGATAAGTTTACAGCTAGGTAGAATAACTAATTATCCTCACAACTATGAGATAAAGATAATATCAAAAGGTAATTATCTTGTATTTCTATCATGCCCCCGCAAGACGGACGGAGGATTCGAAAGGCCGATCTTGGTTAGTAAGACATCAAGACGTGGTCTGGACAATGGTTTTGTAAGAAAATCCGCTAACTGATCTCCTGTTGAGACGTGGACAACGCGCAAAGCACCCTGCTGTACTTGATCACGTATGAAATGATATGAAACGGCAAGATGTTTCATTCGTGATTGGAAGACAGGATTCGCAGCAAGGTATGTGGCACTGAGGTTATCATAGTAAACTACTGGAGTGCAGGGCAATGTCACACCCATTTCAGTGAGAAGATTACAGACCCAAAGTAACTCAGTGGTCGTTGTTGCAACCGACCTGTACTCAGCTTCTGTGGAAGAAAGAGCTAGTGACCTTTGCTTCTTGGAAGACCAAGTTATAGGTGTTCGACCAAGAAACACAACGTGACCCATGGTGGAGGTGTAATCATCTCGATCACCAGCCCAATCCGCATCAGAAAATGCGTGCAGAATAGGCGTAGTGTCGCGATAAATGGTGATACCTTTATCAATGGTTCCACTCAAGTAGCGTAGCAGCCTTTTGAGAGCAGTCCAATGTGCTGTGGTGGGACAATGCATGAACTGAGAGAGCTTGTTAACAGCGAAGGCGACATCCGGCCTAGTAAGCGTGAGATATTGAAGGCTACCAACAGCAGCCCTGTAATCTTTAGGAACAGCAAGGGGAGTGCCCGAGGAACTTGTAAGGTGCTCCGTCAATACCATGGGAGTAGATGCTGGTTTGGAGTCAAGCATGCCCATCCTCTCAAGCATATCAATGATGTATCTGCGTTGATTAAGGAAAAGTCCCTTGGAAGTAGGCATCACCTCCACACCGAGAAAGTAGGATAGATCACCCAGGTCCTTTAGAGAAAACCTGTGAGAAAAATGCTTCAGAAAATTGTTGAGTGTTGCTTGATGTGGAGATGTGACAATAATGTCGTCAACATAGACAATAAGGTAAATGGGGTTATGAGAATGGTGTAAAATAAATAAGGAGACATCCGAGACGCATTTGCGAAAACCAGCACCAATAAGGTAGGCAGCCAACTCAGAATACCAAGCTCTCGGAGCTTGCTTCAAGCCATAGATAGCTTTCTTGAGTTTGCAAACGTGAGTGGGATAGAGAGGGTCTACGAACCCAGGAGGTTGAGCCATAAATACTTCTTCATTTAACGTTCCTTGTAAAAAGGCATTGTTCACATCAAGTTGCCGAATGAACCAACCTTGTGAAACAGCAAGACTTAAGAGAGTGCGAATGGTGGCGGGTTTGACAACAGGGCTAAACGTCTCAGTGTAGTCAACCCCGGGACGTTGCTGGAAACCTTTTGCAACAAGGCGTGCCTTGTAGCGTTCTATGGTTCCATCTTTGGTGTATTTAATCCGGAAAACCCACTTACATTTTACAATATTAGTGGCAGCCATAGGGGACGTGAGTTCCCAAGTGCCGAGACGATGGAGTGAGGCAAGTTCCTCCTCCATAGCCTTTTTCCAGTTCGGGTCTTTAAGGGCTTGAGGTACGGAGCGAGGAATTTCTGGTTTGGGCTGGATAGCAGTGTGGTTTACATACTTCTGGTTAGGCTTGAAAATGTTGTTCTTGGATCGAGTGATGACACCGGAGGGTTGGGATGGTGGGTGAGGTTTAGGGGAGCTTGCGATACTGATGGGAGGGGAAGTGTTGGATGCGAGGTGTGGGGAAGCGTGTGGCATGGGAGATGACATGGAGGCAGTGAGGGGTGGAGTTGACCGAGTGACGGATGTAGAGGATAGGGCAGGAGAGTTTGAGGGGGTGGGCTGGGATGTTGGTGTGGATGGCGAGGTGTGGGAGGAGTCCATGATTTCAATCACAGGCTGGTGGACAGGATTCTGGAGGATGGGTAAGGCTATATTGCACCAAGCGTCAGGACTAGGGATAGTGGGTCGTGGCTCAGATGTGACGAGTTTAGAGATTGGGAACTCATCCATCGACAAACCGAACGTGTCGAGATGTGTACACTCGGTTTGTCGATGGATCAAGGCAGTGATAGGCACTTTGCGTTTTGGAGTATCCGATAAAAATGCAGGGCTTAGATTTCGGCTGTAGTTTGTGGGTAGTGTAGGGTTTAAGCCAGGGATAGCAAAGACAGCCAAAACAACGTAATTTCATATAGTTTGGGGGAGAATTGAATAAACAGTGATAAGGTGATTTCATCGACAGAGTAGGTGTAGGTAATCTATTGATCAAGTAGGAGGCGGTGGAGAAAGCATACGACCAATAGGATAGAGGGAGCTTAGAGTGGGTGAGGAGAGATAGGCCAGTTTCAACAATGTGACGATGCCGACGTTCGGCAAAGCCATTGTGCTGGGGCGTATGGGGGGGTGACGTGAGGTGAGACACACCATCAATTGTTAAGAAGGAGGCTAGTGCCTCGTACTCCCCACCATTGTCCGAGTACAGAATTTTGATTGGTTTAGAGAAATTTTTTTCAACGAGAGCTTTATAGCGAATAAAAACTGGTTTAGTGTCAGATTTGTTTTTAAGCGGATAAAACCAAATATACTTAGTGAAGTGATCAACAAATATGACATAATATTTGAAACCATCAACAGAATGAACCGGAGAGGTCCATAAATCTGTATAGATAATATCAAGAGGAGCAGTAGACAATAATGTTGATTGAGCAAAGGATAATTTGTGACTTTTATTGCATTGACATGCATTACAATTGAAATTGAACGAACTAGAAACATGAAGTTGGAAATCAGAAACAATATGCTTGAAAATTGATAAGGAAGGATGGCCAAGCCGATGGTGCCAATTTATTACAGGAGTTTTAATAGTAGAGAGAGCTAGGATAGTCGAGGATGAGGGCCATTCGTAAATTCCTTGTTTAACTGGTCCCTTCAGGAGATGTGCCCCCGTGAGTCGATCCTTCAAAAGGAAGAAATCAGATGAGAATTCGATAGTAAGATTATTTTCAGAACATAATTGAGAGATGAAGATAATATTACGAGACATAGATGGAGCACATAAGATATTAGATAAATTAACCGATTTAGAGTAAGAAATAGGCAAGGATAAAGAACCAGTATGAGTGATAGGAATACCTAGACCATTACCGATGACAACTTCTTCAGTGCCATCATACGGGTGATGGAGGGATAGGGTGGATAGATCATGGGTAACATGATGAGAGGCTCTCGTATCCAAGAGCCAAGAGGGATCAGAGGGTGGGGGGTTTGCAGTGGCGACATGCACCTGAGGAGGAGAGGAACCACATGTTTGTGGTGGAAGGGTAGGTTTGGCAGTAGGAAAACGTTGATTAAACGATGGACAACGATATAAGGAGTGCCCATAAGTGTGGCACCATTGACACCGACCTTTATAACCGGAGCTAGGAGGTTTATCATTGGTGGGGGATTTCTTGGAGTGTGGCGTGGGCTGATTGGGATGAGAGTGAGGTTGCTTGCGGTAAGAGTCAGGGGAGGGGGATGGCTGGCTACGAGTGAAGGTAGCATGGGCGGAAGCAGATAGGGAAGAAGGCGTAGGTGAGTTGCGAAGGCTAACTTCCTTGATGAGGAGTTTCTCATGGAGTTCATCAAAAGAGATTAGGGTATCACGATTATTGGTGGCATCAATAACAGATTGGTAAGCAGGGTCTTGGAGGCCTTCGAGGACTCGCTCAATAAGGTCGTCGGGTTTGCATGGATCTCCTAAGACAGCTAGTTGATCGGCACAAATGCGAATGGCATTCATGTACTCGGTAATACTTTGTGTGCCTTTGGTGATGGACTTAAGGTTAGTCTTGAGAAGCTTAGCATGTCCTCGGGTGTGACGAGCAAAGGTATGGGCAAGAATGTCCCATGCCTCCTTAGTGGTGGTTGCTCGAGAGACAAGGGGGGAGATGTTAGACTCTAGTGTGCCAAGAAAGGCTCCAAAAAGGAGTTTGTCTTGGCGAACCCAAGTGGTGTAAGCCGGGTTTGGGGAGGGTGTGTCATTGGTGAGAACAGTAGGGGGCGAGGTAGGCAGAGATCCGTCGAGGAAGTGGTAAAGGCCATGGCCAACGAGGATAGACTCTAGTTGAAGCTTCCAGGATAGGTAGTTGAGGTTTGTGAGTTTGATGACGTTGGTGAGGTTAACAATGATAAGGGGTTGTGATGGTTGTGCATTGTTAGGAATGATAGAGTTGGAGGCCATTGAAGCGGTAGCGAGGGGTGTGGAAAAAAAGATCAGGATATTGTGATCTTCCTGCTCGATACCATATAAGATGATTATGATTGTATTGAATGAATTAAAACAGAGTGTACAACCTAAATTTATACAATGAGAGAGCTATACAAAGAGTATAAAAGATATAACAATATACACAAAATAAGGAGATAAGTTTACAGCTAGGTGGAATAACTAATTATCCTCACAACTATGAGATAAAGATAATATCAAAAGGTAATTATCTTGTATCTCTATCATATATTTGTAGCTGGCCATTGAAACAACTTGTATATAATCTTCATGTTCAATTTTGTGTCATGCTAATACTTATATGATTTGACTTATGAATAAAATCAATTATAGTATAACCTCTACGAATGAGTGAGGAAGGTTGCACTCTTTAGAAACCCTCTTAAACCCATTGTTGCACCAAGGAATTTGCAATAAGCTGTGATATGAATAATGATGGTGATTGCTGTTTATGCATGTTTTTTTCTTGCCACTGATGCAGTCGACCTTGTCTGCGGCTCTCACCATGGGTTCTCCTTTCTATTTTTACCATCTTTTTCACAAAGTATTGTTTGAAGCATTTTTTTGTGAAATAAACTGAACTTTTAGCCTTTTCCAATTAAATTGACAAAATATTGTGTCTATTGAACAGAGAATTTTAAGGACACTATTTCTCTCACAGGTGGTGCACTGGAATTTCAGAAGGCAACTACCTCTCTTTCATCTGAGCAATTGCCTTCCCCAAAGAAGATAACACTTGTCAGGCATGGCCTTAGCTCATGGAATGCTGAAAGTAGAGTTCAGGTTTGTTGCTTCTCGTCCAAAGCATTTTTTAAATTTGGTTCTATTACGTCTTAACTATCTTACAAGCTGCTATAACAGTCTTATCTTTGTCTTGAGCAGTAATCATATTGTCTTTACCTTGTTAGTTTTGAACTCTTGTGCATGAAGTTCTCAGCAAAGCACCTCTTCTGGGCAATATTAAGCTATGTAGTTTTGTCTAAGTGGACTAGTGGAGAGAGTGAGAAAGAGAGTTCCTTAAATCTCAGTTTCTCAATTGAGTTGTAGGTGTAGGCGATAGAATATGGAACATGATGCAGCAGCCTTCCTAAGCAGCCAAGCTCATTATCTGTTATTTCTTTCTAATTGGGATGTTTTAGCATAACCAGAATATATTATAGCTGTGTCAAAAAAAAAAAAAAAAAAAAAAGAATATATTATGGCCAAAAGATTTCTTAAGTTTTTCATCTTGCATTCATTACTCAAATACTTTGCAAGTATGCCTTACTTGAGTTTCTTAAAACTTTGCTTTATATAAGTGAAAACCTATGCAGCCTTCAATGTTAGAAGGAGGATAAATCATATGTTGAGAGTCTTGAGATTCAAGAAAATGATCACGTATGCATATAATGAAGTTGTTGGATAATTAATTTTAATGTTTACCAATAGTGTTATATCTGAAATCCAGTTTTGATATGCCAGGGAAGTTCAGACTTATCTGTTCTGACAGATGAGGGAGCAAAGCAGGCGGAGAGATGTAGGAAGGCGTTAGCAAATATACATTTTGATAAATGCTTCGCAAGTCCAATCACTCGTGCTAAGGTTTGAGATCTTATGAGTTGTATTAGTAGTTAATCTGAAACTTTAGGTAGTTCATAATTTAATTATATTCCATCTGTGTCAATTCATTGCAGTCTACTGCTGAAATACTATGGCAAGGGAGAAAAGAACCACTTATTTACTATGATTCTTTGAAGGAGGTTCATCTTTTTTTATTGGAAGGCATGAAAAACGGTCAGTTCTCGTTGTTTAGTGATAGAATTTTGCTCATTATATAACAAATTAGATTTGAATTGGACTATACTTTTTATACAATTCTTGTGCTGGAGTTTAGTATGAGTACGGAAAATAATAAAATTCCTGTTAAAAGATTAAAACATCTCAGAAAACACGAGAGCTAAGCATGCAGATTCATGTATTCATTATTCAAATTCTGTATGAGATTATGATATTTGCACCTAATAGTTTGTGGACAAAAGAGATAAATTGAATCATGTTCAGCATTTGGAGGCAGAGGATGCTAAACAGAGATATCCTAAGGAATATACAACCTGGAGGGAAGATCCTGTAAACTTCAATGTGAACGGCGTCTATCCTATTAGGGATTTGTGGGTGACAACTGCTGAAACTTGGAGAGAAATCTTGTCAAATCCTGTAAGCCCTTTCTTCTCTAATCATTGTGAAAATTGTGAGCTTGCAGACATTCAAATCTATTTTATGGTGTGTGGCAGTGCTTTCAACTTTGATGCGTTAATTTCTTCTGTTTATTAGGGGGAGAGCTTTTTGGTGGTCACTCACAAATCAATATTGAGGGCACTCGTCTGCACAGCTCTAGGGCTAGGCCCTAAAAGGTATGCTATGGCAATTTATGCGTGATAAGCTTTTCTATTAATACATTCTGGCTGTGTCTTTAAGTAACAGGCTGATTATTTCATGGTAATATAGATTTCGCGCAATTGATGTGAACAATGGCGGAATTTGTGTACTGAATTTCAACAAAAGAGGAGAAGCTATGCTTCATTCTCTGAACATGACTGCCCACATGTACACTGACCTCACTTATATGCACTGAATTTTGTTGCAACTTTCTGGAACCCAACGGACCACAGACCCAAAGACGACAGACCCAGAGACGGGTGGAGAAAGGACAATCCCGAAAGAGATGGGATACTAACTCCTGATCTTGCTGACAGAAAACACACACCGAGTCCACTGATAAACCTCTGGACCGAAGCTTAATAGTAAGCGGTAACGCATCATGGATACGTTTCCAACCAAAAACCTTCCACCTTGGAAGAATAGGCAATCTCCAGAAATGTTTCCACCAAGAAGATGGAACCCGAACAGAAGAAACAAACGAAGAGCACTGTCGAACGAGCATTGCATATGCAGTTTTATATGAAAAGGAACCGTCCCTGGTAAACTTCCAATATACAAAATCATCCATCGGTTGAAGAGGCCGATCTGGTGACAGAATACGGGAAGGTATAGGATCATCGGTAAAATGAATTTTAGAGGAGTAGTCCGTAGTGGCGTAGTATATTACTTTTATAAAACAATTTGCATCATCGCATCATTTGCATGACCAAATTTGTGACAATTTTTAAGATAAAATCATAAAACACAGGGGCCCTACATATTAGACAGAGAAAGGCCCTACATATTAGACAGGGAAAGGCTCAGCATAATCCTATAACACATATCATACATTAGCAAATACGAAGTAGCAATCATGTAGAAGAAGAAATCTTATTTTGGTCTCAATTATAAAATGACTTCATGTCATCTTTTTTACAAGTGCTTTCATGATTTCATCACTAGATTACATTATTTGATTCGCTTAATTTTTATTATACTTGACACATAAGCCAATTCAATTGCCCAAAAAAGAAACCCTATGCCAATTTAATATACGGATTTGTAAACATTTCTTAGACTTTTGTTAAAAAAAATACTAAAAATACTTATGGAGTGTTCGAATTAAAAAATAATGAAGCTAAAGCTCATAAAATGATTCATATGGAGTCACAATTATTATGAATCTAGATCTATTCATGCATAATGAATGATTGATATTCTTTAAAAGCAATTAATTAAGTCTACTAAACTTTGTGATTTGTGCCTTTTGGAACCGAACAATTTAGTGAAAATTATTGTCCGTGTAAAAGTTGTATTATACAAAGAGGTGAATTTTCGAAAGAATTTGTATAAATTAATCATGGTTTTTTTTTTTTTTTAATGCAAATGAGTACATACCAAAGATAAAAGAAAAGGCAGAAACAATACAATTAAGAAGACTATCAAGGAGGAACAAAGCATGGGAAAGCCACGCCTTGGACATCCTCATCTAAAATCCTACGAAGTTCCATCGGAACACTAATAAGTCCAATTGATTGAGCCACTCCATGATTAGCAAGCCAGTTTGCAGCACAATTCCCTTCCCGTAAGACATGAATCACCTTAATTTCCCAATCATTCTTAACCAATAACAAACGGCAATGGTTAATCAAGTAAGCACACTCACCACTTCCTTGTGCTTGTGAAGTAAGAGCTTGAACTCATGCATGATTATCGAGTTGGACTCTTTGTGTATAGATTAATCAATAATACTGCGTATTAGTCTCTATTTTCTAAAATAATCACAAAACTTATATTTAAGTGTAGTTTTAGAATATACAACTGTTGAAAGTTTTTTCTTCTTGAACTAAATAGAAATATTACAAATAGGCCATATTTAAAATTTTAAAACGAAAGGGAATACTTATTTTCTACAGATTTAAAAGTAAAATCCAATTAGTTGTACCAAATTAAGAAAGAATTAGACGAATTGATGATTAAAGAAGTGATATCCTATATATTTACATAACTTTCATTTTCTCAAACGCTTAAAATGACAATTGACAAAAGATGTTTCTAATAAGCTACAATTACACCAAAGCTGCCAACGTTAGATTCTCGATTCCATCATTTATTTTTTATTTTTCAAATTTATTCTTCTTTTAAAAAACAAGAAAAAATAGAGAAAAAACATTAATCCCACCTTCACATTACTCCACACAACAACAACACACGAACATTAACAGTCATTCTTCAGTCTCTCCTTCTCCCCCCCACTTTCTCTCTCCTCCCTCCACTTTCTCTCTCCTCCGCCATTAACAAACCCCACTTCAACTTCCGCTCTTACTTGCATTTCACAACACCCTCTTCCTCTTTCTCTCTCCTCCATGCCACTTTAGCAATAAAAATTGAATTCTTTTGGAAAAAAAAAGCAATGAATCGCCGGCAAAGAGGGAATCCCACGCGCGCGTTACCCGACGCGCCGCCTCCTATACCACCACAAACAACCTCGTACAAACCCTTTAACATAATCCCAATTCACGATATCATAATTGACCACCCTTCCACGCGCTACCCTGAAGTACGCGCCGCCGCGTCAGCTTTACGCGCCGTCGAGGATCTCCGGAAACCACCCTTTCACACGTGGCACGACAACTACGACCTTCTAGATTGGTTGGGTCTTTTCTTTGGGTTTCAAAACGACAACGTTCGGAACCAACGAGAGCACCTTGTTCTTCATTTGGCTAACTCTCAAATGCGAATGACACCACCGCCGTCAAACGCCGCCGTTTTGGATTTTGACCTGGTGCGGAAGTTCCGGAAGAAGCTTCTGGCGAATTACAGTTCGTGGTGTTCGTTTGTTGGGAAGAGGTCTCGGGTTCGAGTCCCACTGTTCCGAAAAGGAAGCGATGAATTTCGGCGGGAGTTGTTGTATGTATCTCTTTACTTGTTAATTTGGGGTGAATCTGCTAATTTAAGGTTTATGCCTGAATGTATTTGTTATATTTTTCATCATATGGCACATGAGCTTAATTTGATACTTGATCATCGGGATGACCCGGACACGGGTCGGCCGTATTTGCCGCAAATTAGTGGTGAGAATGCATTTTTGGATCAGGTTGTGAAACCCCTTTACGATACGATTCGAGATGAGGTTGGGTCTAGTAAGGGTGGGAGGAAGCCACACTCGGCGTGGCGAAATTATGATGATTTGAATGAGTTTTTTTGGAGGAAGAGGTGTTTTAAGTCGCTTAAGTGGCCTTTGGATAGGAGTAGTAATTATTTTACGACGGCTAGTAAGGCGGCGAAGGTAGGGAAGACGGGGTTTGTGGAGCAAAGGTCGTTTTGGAATGTGTTTAGGAGTTTTGATAGGGTTTGGGTGGTGTTGTTGTTGTTCTTGCATGCTATGATTGTTGTAGCGTTGGAAGGGACGGATTGGCCGTGGGAGGCGATTGGGAAGAGGGAGGTTCAGGTGAAGTTGCTTACTGTTTTTATTACGTGGGCGGGGCTTAGGTTGATTCAGTCAATTCTTGATGCGGGGACTCAGTATAGTTTGGTGACTCGGGAGAAGTGGTTGCTTGGCGTGAGGATGGTGCTTAAGAGCATGGTGGCTGTGGCTTGGATTGTTGTGTTCTCTGTGTTCTATTTTAGGATTTGGAGTCAGAAGGATAGGGATCGTCGGGGGTGGTCTTATGAGGCAAATCAGAGGATTCTCATGTTTCTTAAGGCAGCCTTTGTTTTTATTATCCCGGAATTGTTGGCCTTGGTTCTTTTTGTTGTTCCATGGGTTAGGAATTTTTTTGAGGAGGTCAATTTTCCTTTGTTGTATTTGGTAACTTGGTGGTTTCATAGGCGGACTTTTGTGGGTTGTGGTGTGAGGGAAGGGCTGATCGACAACGTAAAGTATTCTTTGTTTTGGGTTTTAATTTTGGCTGCAAAATTTTCATTTAGCTATTTTCTTCAGATCAAGCCCTTGATAGGTCCAACAAGGGCCCTCTTGAGGTTGAGGGGTGTACATTATAATTGGCACGAGTTTTTCAGCAACACTAACAGAATAGCAGTTGTATTGCTGTGGCTTCCTGTTGTTATTATCTATCTCGTGGACTTACAGATATGGTATTCTGTCTTCTCCTCGTTTGTTGGTGCATATGTTGGACTATTCTCTCATTTGGGTGAGATAAGGAATATTTGGCAGCTCAGGCTTAGGTTCCAGTTCTTCGCTAGTGCCATGCAGTTCAATCTCATGCCAGAGGAGCAGCTGCCCACAGTGCAAGTGATTAATATTGTGCACAAGCTTAGGGATGCAGTACAAAGATTGAGGCTGCGTTATGGATTTGGGAAGGCCTACAAGAAGATTGAATCTAGCCAGGTGGAGGCAACACGTTTTGCCTTGTTATGGAATGAGATAATTAAATATATGAGGGAAGAAGATCTTCTTGGTGATCGAGAAGTGGAACTTTTAGAGCTTTCACCCAACTGTTGGAATATCAGGGTTATTCGCTGGCCATGCATTCTTCTTTGTAATGAGCTTCTTCTGTCTGTCAGCCAGGCAAAAAAGATGGCAAATGATCAAGACAGGTGGGTTTGGCACAAGATGTGCAAGAGCGAGTATCGAAGGTGTGCAATCATAGAGGCCTATGATAGCATCAAATATTTGCTGCTCAATCATGTTGTTAAATATGGTACAGAAGAGCATTCAATTGTTATTAATGCTTTCAAAGAGATGGAATACTATATGGAGAATGAGAAGTTTACTGCATTCTATAAGTTGACTTTGCTACCGCAGATTCATGACAAATTGGTAACTCTTACAGAGCTTCTGCTGAGTCCCGAGAAGGATATTGATGAAATAATTAAGGTCTTGCAGGCGTCATATGAGCTTTGTGTTCGTGAATTTTCAAAAATTAAGAGGTCCGTGGGGGAGTTGAGGGCGGTGGGTTTAGCACTTCAAAATCCTGCCACAGATGCAGGGTTTCTTTTTGAGAATGCTATTGAACTTCCTGATGAGGAGGATGTGTTCTACTACAGACAGCTGCGTCGTTTGCATACACTTCTTACTTCTAGGGATTCTATGCACAATGTACCAAAAAATAAAGAGGCTCGGAGACGCATTGCCTTCTTTAGCAACTCTGTCTTCATGAACATGCCCCACGCTCCTCAGGTGGAGAAGATGATGGCCTTCAGTGTATTGACGCCTTACTATGATGAAGACGTTATTTATGGAACTAGCAAACTCAAAAGCGCGAATGAGGATGGCATTTCCATCTTGTTCTATCTGCAGAAAATATATGAGGATGAGTGGGATAACTTCATGGAGCGGATGTGGAGGGAAGGCTTGGAAGATGAGAGAGAAATTTGGACAATGAAGGTCAAGGAACTGCGTCTTTGGGCATCTTACCGAGGCCAAACTCTTTCTCGTACTGTGAGGGAATGATGTATTATTATCAGGCACTCAAGATGCTCGCCTATCTGGATTCAGCATCAGAAGTGGATGTAAGGGCTGGTAGTCAGCAAATTGCCTCACATGGTTCATCGACTCTGAGTAATAATTGGGATGGCTTAGGATCAATTAGAGGCTTAGGTTCAATCAGAGTTCCATCTTCACGCAGTCTTGGAAGAGCACCTAGTGGTATGAATATCCTATACAAAGGCCATGAGTTTGGGACCGCTATGATGAAATTTACTTATGTGGTAACCTGTCAGGTATATGGGATTCACAAAATGGCAGGGGACTCACGTGCTGAGGAGATCTTGTTTTTGATGAAAAACGACGAGGCTCTTCGAGTTGCTTATGTTGATGAGGTACACCTGGCGAGGAATGTTGTAGAATACTATTCGGTTCTTGTTAAGTACGATCAGCAGCTGCAGAGAGAAGTGGAGATATATAGGATCAAGTTGCCTGGTCCTGTGAAATTGGGAGAAGGTAAACCCGAGAATCAGAATCACGCCATTATTTTTAC